ATTATACCCACTTAACTAATATACATACTCACATATGTGCACAGATATGAAAAGGAACGTTCATTGTTGGCAGTAACAGAAGAATGGAGACAACATAAATGTCTACCATTAGATGGGTAGTTAAATACATTATAGTATATTCAGATAAGGGAAAGTGCTGAAGTTCTGAAAATAATAAGGGAGAGCTGTATGTGTTGGTATAGAACAATCTAGACCAAGTAAGCTTAAGAAAGAATCACTAATAACAATAATGAGCCACAAAATGATATGCAGCTTATTCAAAGGAAACATAAAAAATATATATACCATTTGCATATAGATCAGACTGTCACTGGAAATACACACACAAGAAACGGGCAAAAACAATTGCCTCTAAGGAGACTGAGGGCCCAGAACAGGAAGAAGACTTTCACTGGCATGGTTTGAATTTTTTTTAACATGGGTTTATACCAGCTCTTTTATTTACTGACTGTAAAATTTAAATAACTCAAATTCTGAGCCTTAGTATTCTCCAATTTGAAATGATGATAATAATAGCCTAGCTCATTGGTTATTATAAGATCAAATGAAAGAGCATAAAATGCTTTATAAATTATAAAGCAGAACACAAAATTGTAAATTAGTCCTCTGAATGAATTCTCCAAACCAATTATAATTATTTTTATCATTCTTCTGACCAATTTCTCTAAACCCGAAGATGTTTGGGATGAAATGTGAGTGCAGATGCAATATTACAACACAGACTTTTTTACTTTATCTGTAGTTACTGGCTTCAATTTTAAAAAGTAGATTTTCAAAAAGTTATCACAGAAATACTACGTCAGCTGACTACAGAAGGAATACATGCTCACCACTGAAAAGAAGGTAAATAAAGACTATACCCACACTATTAAAAAATCTTGGGGTTTTTCCTTCTAGTCTTTTTTTCTTTGCATGTTTAACTAGATTAATCGTTTAAATATTTTTAAATGTTTCCACTTTACTGTAATACAACATTGGAATTACATTCTCAGATTACTAGAAGCTTCTAATAAAGATAATTTTTAATGAAGGCACAATATTTTATCTTCTTGATCAGAGTTCAACCACTTTAAAATGAAATTCCAGGATGTGAACTCTGCCTGGATTAACTTTTAATTTATTTCTGCAAGTAACCAGGTTATGTATCTTTCTCTTTCTGTCCAACCCCCTAACAGAGTTCCAATTTTACGAAGTCCAAAACTCACATATAAAGTGCATTTATAATTCCTTGAAAAGCAAGTACAACACCTTATATTGAGCTCTAAATCAGACTATTAGTGAGAGAGGAAATTACAACTATGATTTGTTGCTAAATAAAAATGCTCAATCTTTTTCTACTATGTGTTAGTCTGGTATCATCCTGTCTGCAAAGAGAGTGAAAACAAAGAAATATACTCTGAGGTTATTCAGGGAAAACTCCTATTGGACAAACCCAAATGTTCCTAATTAATTTTAACTATGACAACTCCTCCCAAATGCTGAACATTCCAAGCCATTTTTGAGAATAGTTAGTATCATTCAAAAAAGAAAGGACTTCCTGAGAATACTGGATTGTCACTTACATATTCTGCTCTGTATTTATTGTCATAATTGTTAAACCAGCCCATTAAGGTGATACATTTATTAACACAACTGCATAATTTTTTAAAATTGAAAATAAATACCAGAAACTGAAATTATGGGAGGTTTTTCCCTCCAATTTTTAAATTTTCTATAATGCAGTTATATCACTCTTACAATTTAAAAAAGCATTAAAAGGATAATTATTCTTATAGAATTTATTGTTTTAAACCATACACTAAAATTATTTTAAGTCTCATTCTAAGGACCTTTTTATTATTAAAAAAGAAAAATCCTTGACCTGGCCAGCATGGCTCAGTAGGTTGGGCATCAGCCTGCAAAGTGAAGGCTCACAGGTTTGACTCCTGGTCAGAGCACTTGCCTGGGTTGAGGCCAGGTCCCAGGTCAGGGTGAGTGTGGGAGGAAACCGATTAATATTTCTCTCCCACTCTTTCTCCCTCCCTTCCCCTTTCTCTAAAATAAATAAATATATAAATATTTGTTTAAAAAGACGGATTCAGGATCAACTCTTTAAAAAAATCCTTACTAAATTAAAACAAGAAAACTTAAGTATAAAACAACTACTGGAAGACTACTTAAAAGACTCATATCATGCCTATTTCAATAAAATAAAACCTTTATCATCATCAAGATCACTACTACACATCCATAATTGTATTGTCAAGATAGCATGAAAGACAATGAAGAGTCAGAAGCACAAGACCTGTCTTCCATTCTCAAGTTCACTACCTAATTAGGACAACAGGGCATATACTGGAAAAGAGAATCAAAAATACATGGGGGCATGCCAAGCATCTAGTGCACAGAGAGGTATAGTGAAATAAACAGCTTTTGTTGGAGTCCTACAGACCTTGGTTCAAATCTTAGCCCTTCCATTTACTATTTACATAAATTACTTCCCTCATTTGTAAAATGTTAAATTAAGTGACATTAAATTTCTGTCATATAGTAATGCCCAAAGGGAAGCTAATAGTATTACTGTTATTATTAGGGATACAGTCTTGAGGAAGAAATGGGCAACTGGAAAATTTTTTGAAGAGAAGTATTATTATCTTTTTTGTAATCTATCACCATAAGAAAAAAATCACAAGATCTTTCTTAAGTTTTACTTCACATTGACAAGAAAAAAACTAAACATCCAGTGAAAACTACTAAAATTAGAAAACACTAATGTACACAGCACTAAGTACCCTGGGGAAGTCACCACTAAACCTGCACATCGTAGAATATGACCTATAAAAAAGAACGTTAGTTGGAAAGGTCCTTAGATCAGCTAATTCAAACTCTCCTACTAGAATGTAAGCTCCGAGTTTTGTCTCCAAGCTCCAAGATTGTTATCTATTTTGTTATTAGTATATCCTCAGTACCCTGAATAATTACTAGCACAGTGAATGCTCAACAAATATTCATTGAATAAATATTAAAGTTAAGAAAACTAAGGCCTGGAGACTTAACTCAATGCCACACATTGAACTAAGCTTGGCAGAGCTGGGACTGGAGCTAACCTTTCATTATTCTAATAGTCTCTCTTCTCTGGTAGCTGGAGAATGATAATTTAGATAATTTATTTTGGTGGTTGGGGAGTTGAAGGTTGGTTGGCAGGCAGAGGAAGAGGAAGGAAGGAGTAAATTAAAACATTTTTTCACATTCTCCTCTGTCAGTTTAGCTTAATTGATAAAGGCAAAAAAAAAAAATTATAAACCTGGCTGGCGTAGCTCAGTGGATTGAGCTCGGGCTGCGAACCAAAGTGTCGCAGGTTCGATTCCCAGTCAGGGTACATGCCTGGGTTGCAAGCCATGACCCCCAGCAACCGCACATTAATGTTTTTCTCTCTCTCTCTCTCTCTCTCTCTCTCTCTCTCTCTCTCTTTCTCCCTCCCTTCCCTCTCTAAAAGATAAATAAATAAAATCTTTTAAAAAAATTTTTATAAACAACACAATCCTAACACAGTGCCTACCACATGATAGGCAGTTAGCAAATATTTGTCGAATAAATGAGCCTACTCCAAAACCATTATTTTCTCATGACTAGAGGTGGAAACTAACTCTAGCATCTGTTTAATCTTTGTAACAGTCATAGAGCCCTTTAGAATTTTCAGCCAAACAGAAGACGAAGTTATTAATCACCTTCATCCAGATGGGCACTGAGGGAAAAGAGATGAATTAAAAGACATCCCTGCCCTCGAGGATCTCTCTCTCTCTTTTGAGTTTACTTAAGTCTGTCTGCATCTGTTTCTGTCTCTGCCTGTGTGTGTGTATGTGTGTTGGGGGAAGGGGTTGACATAAACACATCAATAATGAATGTGAAACCAGGTTGCACTGTTATCTCAGTTTATTGCCTCAAGCGGTTAAATTAAATTAAAAAAAACACAAATTAGCAAAGTTTTAGATTAACAAGGAGGTACATTAGGGTATATTAACACTTGAGAAGATTATTTTCTGTGTGTGCCTTTACAAAATATCTTAATGTCTTAAAATCAAAACACTCCAAATTGACTTACTAGACTTGTCAATACAAATGAACCATCTATGTCCTCATATATGAGACTCTGAAGGATAATACTCCCAATTCAGTATTTATTCTGTGTATGTTAACACTTAAACATATTTAAAAAAAAACACAAGAACAATTCATTATTTAACTGCCTATAAAACTGACAGAGCCTGAAGAAAACCTCCAGAAATGACAGTAAAGAGAAACTAAAAACATTATCCAGGAAGAGAATAAAGTAGGCACACAGCTAAGTAGTAAATCTATAGAAGTCTTCAAGAGACCAGAATCTTCAAGAGGGGAAAAACTCCTCCTCAGAATTGGTCAAAAGAACCAGAGAGCAACAGCCTGCCAACAGGACCTTGTTTATTAATGCAACTCACTAACTAGACTCATAAAAAGTGAACAGCCGAAAGTCAATGTTGCCATTCCTCAAATTTGAGTTTCAGGAAGACCCTTCCAAAGTGATTCGCCACCAAAACTAAATCACCACAGTCCAAAGATTCTTCCCCATTACCTGCTTGTTAAAATAGGATAAGCAACACCAACCAAATTGGGAAATAAACAGACTTCTTACAAGACTGGTAATTTTTGCAAGCTGAAGCTGTTTTACCTAAAACACATGTTCGTATGTGGTTCCTGGTTTCTGGGGAGAATATTTTTCACTCAGTCTATCGTAGGGCTAAGTGGAACACCCCAAAACTCTCTGGGCCCAAAATGTATACCCTATCTCAGTGTTAAAATCTTACCAGCACTGACAAATTCAGGTCAAGGAGACTACAAGGTGGCCGGAAGATACTACAAGGCAAACAGGAAGGCTGGGGTGGGCCCCGAGGGGAAAGTACCTGGCCACCAGCTGTGGAGAGAACAGGATGAGAAGTTGAAACTGGGTAAGTTTTGGTCAAAGTAGTGGGAAGGAATTGACAGGTGCATATCACCTCATCATCCTGGACACCACAGGAAGATTATAATTGGCTTTCCTTTTACAAAGAGGGAGAAACAAGGATCCTAGAGTGAGTGATGCTGAGAGGTTGTCTGGGAAGCACAAGGACAGGGTTCTGAAAGAAAGAGAAACGGAAAAGACCCGAGAACCGCTTTTGATGAAGATTCCCCCAGAATGAGTAATCTCTAGGGTCCGTTCCCAGCCCAAGATTGATGGAACCACCACATCTGTTGAAGGATGTTTTCCTGTTATCCGCTTGGAGAGCGATCAAATGAAATCCCACCGGGTAGGAATGGAAGCAGAGGTGAGCAGGAAAAGACTAATCGAGAGTCTGCCCTGGAAGGAAACCTGATCAGGAGGGGAAGAGGCTGAATTCAGGGAGGGCTAGCTAGATAAGTACTTGGGTAGGATGAGACTTATTTGGAATAGAGAACCCTGGAGGAAACTGTTGGCGAAGGGTTGCCTTTCCTTGGACTCCAGTGGAAACAGGCCGGTTTAAGGAGAAAAGATGCCGTGAAAGTCAGGCTCGGGAAGGTGACTAGAACTGGGGTAAGCGTTTGCCCGGCGGAGGGCTGACCCGGGGTTGAAGCTGATCAGCAGTAGCTCAACAGGCGCTCACCTGGGACAGACTGGCTAGGAAGGAGGAAACTTCTTGCGAGAGTGAAAGCTGAGTGGAGGGAGAGGGGCCGGGCACTAGCTGAGCGGGGCTGGGGGCAAGGTCAACTCAGTTTGGGTGGGGAGGAGTAGAAAGGCAGGGGCGCCGGGTGGGGCGGGGCCGAGGGCGCCCACCGACCCCAGGTGGGGTACGGGCATTCTCAGCAGAGCTGCCAGTTCGGGATGGCGCCCTCCCTCCGGCACACGCGCGCACGCTCCTGCTCTCCGCCGCCCCGCCCGGGGCCGGGAGAAACGGCACGAGTCGGTGAACCAGAGAGGGTGGGGGGGGAGGGGGCTGGTCGGGAATACCGGCCGACCGAGCCCAGCGGATGGGCTGGCGGCGTTACCTGTGTCAGGGAGAGCTGGGCCGCCGCAGCCATGGTGTTTCCATCATGCACGGGAGGGGAAGGAAGGACTGGCGGACGGGGGCTAGGGCGGGGAGAAGGCGGAGGGAGCGGCCAGAGGCAAGGCCGGGGCGGGCAAGCGGGCGTCTCCCCTAACTTCGACAACTTCCCTCCTCTCACCCGCCCCGCCCCGCCTGGCCCCGCCCGCCCCGAGCAGGCCGGGGCGGCACCCAAATCCTGGCGCCGGAGTTTGAGCCGCGGGACTGGAGCCTGACACCGAGGGCGGAGCCGCTTGGGAAAACCCAGAGCACACATGAAATTAAGGATAATGGGTTTTGAAGGCACTGACAACTCCGGATTGTCCTGTGAACTTTAGGCAGATCTGCTTCTATAAAATAAAGTAAATATATTTTTTAAATTTTAATTGGGGAAATTATACCCCAAATCCAGGTTTCTTGTGAGGACTAAATGATACTCATATAATGATATAAAATAATAACAGTACTTTATATACACATCAAAATCTGTGCTAGATGCTTTACTTTTTAATTGTATAAAAGAAAGAACTGAGACATAAGCTGTACAAATGAGGAAACCAAAACATTTTTAAAAAGTGCCATAGCTAAGGTCATACATACAGCTAATTAAATAGCTTAAATAGGATTCAGATCTGACTACAAAACCTTTCATCTAACCATCTCCTTTAGGGTGTGATGTTGAAAAGAAGACTTAAGTCAGACCCTCTAGGAGCCAACATCTAGGAAGGAGGAGGATGGAATACTTTCCTTGCCTGCTTGCTGCCTGCCTCTGTAGACTCTTCAATAAAAGAGCACTGGGCCCTGACCACATAGCTCAGTTGGTCAGAGCTTCACCTGGATACACCAAGGTTGTGGATTCCATCCCACCAATGAATGCATAAATAAATGGAACAACAACTCCATGTTTCTCATCACTCTCTCTTACTTTCTTTCTCTCTCTCTCTCATCAATTTAAAAAAATTAAAAATAAATATAAATAAATATTTTAAAAGAGCCCTGAGACCACTTTAGTTGCCTCCTAACTCATCCCATTGTCCACCTGGCAAACTCCTCCTACTTTCTCAAGACACCAGTATCACCTTCGCAAAGCTGCCTTCGCCAAGTCAGAATTACACACTCTCCTTTTCGACATTTTTTTCCTTTACCTTATGAAGTCGTCATCACCCTAGTTACTGTTTACATCTGTCTACCCCTCTAGACCAGAGCTCCTCAATGACAAGGACTGTTTCAGATATACTTCTATACCCTCAGACCCTAGCACTTAGTACATACTCAATAAAGATCTTTGTTCCTATTGTATTAAATATAACACAACTAACACTTTCTCATGATGCCATCTTCAATTAGAATAGCCAACCAGTTACTTGAAGCCCTCATATTTAAAGACTTGGCTTATATGCTACTTATTTGAAGGAGCCTTTTAGGAACTCCTACCCTACTTCTTAGTTGCTCTTGTATATTCCATGTTATACTCTGCCTTGTCCTTTTAGTTAGTTGAGTGCTTTTTTGCACCCCCACTAGACCTTAAAATCCTTGAGGACAGTGTGCTAATTCATGAGTACATCCCCCTCATAGTTTAGTCTAGCATAGAGTAACCCTCAATAAATGTTTTTACCCAGAATTGGTCATCCTTTCTCAGTCATGGCAGCTTCCCACAACAATAAACCACAACTCTGTCAGGCCCACACCCCTGTTACCATTATCACAGCAGTTTCTTCTGGCTCACCAGGAAGGCCAGCTGAATGAGAAGACCCAGGACTGACTTAGCCCCACTGAAATTTTTAGATATTTTCCACCACAGACAAACCACCCAGATATGCCCTCAGAGACTCCTGACTTCATTCAGACTTCTTTTCACAAGGTCCAGCCATGAAGAGTGAGTCTGCAGGTCTGTTGAGCAACCACTTACTGAAAAGTCTCCCTTAACCTCTTTTTGATGTTATTCTTTTTAACTCAAGAGAGAAGGGGAGATATTGTTTTAAATTACTCCACCCTCATACCTCTATCAGCTATAAGCACATCTGATGTTTCTGCTTGAATTTTCTATTTTCCATTATCACATCTGAGCTTTGCAACAGACTGCAAGATATACTTTATATATGAGGTAACTGAAGGTCCTAGAGCAGGGCTGTCTAACTCATTTTCACCGGGAGCCACATCAGCCTCGCGGTTGCCTTCAAAGGGCTGAATGTAATTTCAACTCCTTAACAGTTAAGGAGTAGTTACATTTATACAGTCCTAAAATTATTTCGGCCCTTTGAAGGCAACTGTGAGGCTGATGTGGCCCGCCAGTGAAAATAAGTTGGACACCCCTGTCCTAGAGGTTAAGTGATTTGCCCAAGGTTATACAGCTCATAACCAAAGCAGTGGAGCATAGCGGAATAAACAGGGCTGGGACATCAGAAACATCCAGGTTCCAGTGCTAGCTCTACCATTTTCTAGCTGTACAGTCTTAGGGTGGTTGTCAAGATGAATAAAATAACATATATAAAAATACCTAAAGATGTAAATATATAAATTTAGTTAAGAAATCTGAAAGTGATGGAATAAATTGCTATCAGGAATACAAATTCACTTGCTAGTCAAGACAACTCCTCCAAATCAAATGAAATACAAGGTATTACTCTTGAGTGAATAGATTGGAGTTCCAGGTGTATAGAGTTTCCTAGAAAAGCAATGTGGGGCAGTAAGGAGAATATTGGGGTCACTTACTATGTGACTCCAGGCAAACCATCTAACCTGTTGAGCCTCAGTTTCTCACGTATAAAAATAAGTAAATCAATGTGAAAAATGTTGAGGAAATACAAGGAATTATTGCTATACTTATTTTGTGACTGATGTTAAGTCAAAAACAACACATATTTATCCAGCATTGCTTTTCATAGTTTATAAATGTTTTTACATGCAGCATCTAGCACAACTCCTTGAGTCGAATGGACACATGACAAAAGTTTGTTGAACTGAATGCATAATCTCATGTGTAGTTATTATTTGGATGCTTATTTTATCCCCATTTCAAAGTTAAGAAAATCAAGGAACAAATATTTTATAAATGATTTGTTTCAGTAAGTGTCACTTAGAGCATGTTTGGGCCTTGGTTAAAATAATAAAAATGATAATTAGACTCCTCAGCCAGGGAAGACTATAGGTAAAAATCACTAAGTGGGAATTGCCCTAAGCCCCCTTTCAGACTACCAGTAATTTTCACTAGCTTCCTCCTCCGCTCACTGGTTCTGGTTTAAAAACTTGACACATAGTGGAGGATGGGAATGATCATCCAGACTCCCCAAAATGCCTAGAATTTCTGGGACTGGATTTTTGTAAATGACACACCAATGACAGTTTGCCAATGTGTGTCCCAGATCTCATCAAATCACTGGGTCATATCCCAAATCTATTTTAGGAGAGTAAAATGCAGATGATGGAAGATATGTTATTATTTAATTCATTGTAACAAGAAAGAGCTTTTTGGAGCAGACAAAAAGGACTTAAATGTCTCTGGGTCTCTATACCTTAAATTTCTCATGTGTACATGGGAGGTAATAATATCTACCTTGTAGGGATGGTATAAGGGTTACAAATCACGCAAAATGTCCTATCAAAGAGACTGACCTGGAATAGATATTCAGTAAGTGGTAGCTGTAAGGATACCATTCTCCAATATCACTTCATCATTTAAACTCTCTATCCCTCAGACAACCCTCCAATTGCTAAGTCAGTTTTGCAGGTGTCTTGGCCATAAAAAAAGAGTGCCTTGAACAGCTGACATACTTATCTCTCTCATCAGGAAAGATGTTCTCTAGGTAAACAAAGTTGTGTCTGATGACTCAAATCTGGATACTGATAACCAACAATTGCTGCTTTTATATGCATTATTTTATTTAATCCTCACAATAACACTATAGGGACTATTAATTAATTTTATTTTATAGGAGGGGTATTTGTCCAAATTCATGGTGACAAGACTAGAAATTATATACAGGTCTTCTGACTTAAATGTGCTTTTTACTAGGGCATATTGCTGGTGTCCTGCAGACATTGACCACCCCCAAGAAGAATGAATAAAACAATGCTTCTGACCATTAGAAGCTGGAGTTGAGACTCTGGATTTATAATAACCCTAAATCCAAGATGATCTAAAGAGAAGACTTAGATAATGAACAGTTTTTTCATTAGCCTGTCATTCCATCTTTCCATCCTACTGTATACTCCCACTCCCCCTCCCCAACTTACCGTTAAAGGAAACCACAGCTACTTTTTTTATTTCTTTATTGTCCAGCTTTTGGAGGTGACCATGATATCAGCTCTTCATAAACACAGCACATCTGTGATGTCACCATTTAGAAATGCAGAATGATTGATTGACACTGTGAAAAAAAACAACTATGAGGAGCTCTCTGAATATACAAAGAACCAATTTATTTGCATGAGGCTGAAAAAGGACTTCCATATAAATGGTGCTAAGTTACAAAAAAAATTATACTACAATTGTAATGGTAATCTGGAGCTCACGCTTCCAAGCTGCTGGTTTCATAAATATAGCCCGTTATTGTTCATGCTTGCCCAGGGCAGAGAGAATATGTGAGGCTGCACAATAATAACGATTGTGCTACACAAATAACTGTACCCGTGCCAAGGACTGAGAAGAACAAGCAATAAGAGATTTTTAAATGCCACACACACTCAGTGGTGATAGGACAGTTCAAAACTGTCATCATTGCTCATTTTTCAGGGCATCAGGTGTCCTGGGAAAAGCCTAAATTTAGGGCTGGGAAGGATCAACTTGATCTAGTGTCTACTCTGCAACTTTCTAGTTTTGTAACTTTGGACAAGTCAATGAATGATACCAAGCCATATTTTCCTCCTCTAAGCTGAAGGTAATAATAGCACCTGCCTGATAGTGCTATTATGATGATTAAATGAGGTTTCATGTGAAAGCAGTTAGCTAGATACCTGGCATACAGCAGACACTAGATAACTGTTAGCTCCTTTTCTTCCTCCTGGAGAATAATTAGGGTTTAAGAAGCCAGAAACAAAATAGAAATTCTTTTTAAAGAGCTTCAGTGGTTTTGCAAAGCCTACCTCAATGAGTTTTTAAATAAAATGTATTCATCCATCAGTAAAAATTTTTAAGTACTATACAGTGAGGGAGATTATTATATTTATGTCCCAGAAATTCCGCTGGTTTCTGTGAACAAGCAAAGCAGATTTACACTTGCCCTATTTCCTTCCTTTCTCTTTTCTTTTGTTTTTCTCATGAAGGGCCCTGGAATCTCTAAGAAGCCAAATTAAAAAAAAAAGAAAGAAAGAAAAAAGAAAGAAAGAAAGAAAAAGAAAGAAAGAAAGAAAGAAAGAAAGAAAGACCATGAGAAAAAATATTTGCACTCAAGACTGCAGGTCCTTTCATCTGCAGATTTCAAAGCATTGTCTCCATCACTAATTACTAGCCCTGCTTAACATGTGGGAGTGCTAAGGCACCATCAAATTAAGAAGCTTGCCCTAAATCACAAGGCAAATCAGCGGATGGGCTACAGACAGAACAAAGCTGTCCTGTTTGCCAGCCTTGGGCTCTAAAGTAGGACACATGAGAGTCAACAGTCTTCAAATAATGAGGAGAAAAGTTTGGGGAATTCTGATTCCAAACCTTTGAATCACTGTATGACAGGAGCATGGGCTTTGGAGTCCAGTTTGACTTCAAATCTCAGCTCAGGCCCTTCTGGTTGCACAGCCTCAGTCAAATTACAGATTACAGCTTAGTTTCCTGTTCTGTAAAATGCGGAAATTCTTACTTCTCCAAGTTTGGGGAAAGTTAAATGATGCAACTTTTGTGAGAGAGCCTAGCACAATGTCCTGCACTTAGCAGGTTCACATAGTTGGAGAAAACTAAGGCAATCCACATATAGATATAAAGACAAACAACTCTTTC